TTGCCCACCAGTTCTCACGATCATTTCAATCTTTCAATCATCTTTTTCCAAACAACAGCACAAGTGTGAAACATTCTCCCCCTTTGGACCTTCCCTCCAAATTACAACATCCTTACCTTTAAACTCAGAATCAATAAGCTGGTTCTAACTTGAATGTTTCCCTCACCTTCCCACGTACGGTATGTCTTTGGATTATGGAGTTTACTCCTTTTTACTGTAATCACTTTTGTGTAATAAAAATGCATATCTCTTCAAGTAATATGTTCCGTTAGGAAATGATGAGAAGACAACGGCTCTTGATTAGCTTTATGCAATGCTATGATTTCAACCTACTTTTAAGTCGCTTGAACCCTAGCCCAGAAGACGGGATGCACCAACTCTCCGCATTTTACGTCCTAGTTCACTTCCACGTGATTTCCTCCAAGGACTAGCAGCAGCTGCAAACAAGGCGAGGTGCAGTAGACGACTAGTAGATATGTATTGCAATGTGTTTCACACGTGTGTTCAGACTGTGCCAAAAAAGAAAGAGGAAATAGTAGATATGCGCAAAACCTGTGCTAACTAGCGAAACCTATAGCCCCGAATTAGGGTGACAACTAATTTTCCACCGGAATACTCGAATATAAGATGCCCTATCCGATATATGGCTAAGTGTCGTAAACAATGGCGTTCGTGTATATTCTGAATTTTCTTGGTAACTTTATTATTCTGAAATTTCCCATTTTCTCTTCGACTCTACTTTCAACCTTCCTGTCTTTCTCCTACTGTTTATTCAAATAGGTGGCTAAAGGCAGCAACAAAAAGCGGCTCACGAACGTGCATGGTTGATGGTTGTACAAACTGAAATTGAAACCACCTTATCCGTGTTACTCACGCGCTTGCTACTTTTTACCTGAGCCAAACTATGTGAACATTGATGAAGGAAGACCATCGATTGATGACAGTCTTCCAAAAGCAAAATCAAGGTCTCGAAGCCGTACAGCAGAATGGGTCGCACTATGTCGCAGTACATGTGACCTATCAACGTCAGTGAAACGTTCCATCAATGCCGAAGGTGTATTAGATGGATTAAATCGCTTGAGTATAGAATAAACGGACGGATACTTTCTCTGCTGTGCCACCGTCATTGCATTCTATCTTGTTTAACTCTGTTTAGTTCTTTTCCATTGATTACACAATGGTACAGACATTTTTTACGAACCTACGAGCCAATCAAAAGGTTGGAACAGTAAAAACGTCAGGCGGCGGTGGTGAGGTAAGAAAATGCTATCTCCACAGAGATGTTACCTTAACCGGTTGACCGTCTGGGGAGAAGCAAACGACACCCTTATGTGGTGGTGGTTTAGTCGCTATCACAAGCGTGCTCTGGACCCTATTGTCTGACGTTCGAGCCCCGCAACCACCACACAACTTTGGTGGTANTGGTACGCAGCTTTGCTTTCGTCCGGTGTAATACCACACCTAACCTATCGGGGCCTTATGTGGCTCGCCACTCCAAGTCCCGGGGCTTAGGTTACCGGTTTCCATCACTGAACAGCAAGTACTCGTGATTATGGGCCTTTCCCCTTTCATCAAACGAGAGTACGTAATAAAAAAGTGAAGAATCACAGACCGGGTGAGCACCGTAATTAAGATAACCAGCTGTTTATTGAAGGAAACGTCCAACCCGGGACGTGGAGTGACTGAACACATAAAGCCTCCGCACATTTAGAAGCAAACGTGAAATAAATAATAACGACAGCAGTCAGTGACAATTATGACTGCATGAAACCTGAAATCCACAAATCACTAGCATCCCTCATGCGAAGCACCTAATAGGGATCAGCGCGGGTGCCACTCCAGTTTCCCTTGTTAACCTGATGCGTTGTCTCTGTCCCTTTCCTTCTTAGCTAGATTCGGTCTGAACTGTTTTCTGCTTCCTATTTATACAAATATCTTCCAGGCATATGCCTGACTGGCCCTACAGGATATTGGGTAAAATTATGGGAATAATTTTAGTTTGTATGGACATTTTCAGCCTATTTTTACATCTTAAGTGTTAAGTTAGATTCCTAGTGATATTTTCTCAGTGTACCGTTACTGATTTTGACTACTTCACTGATAATCAACTGTACTCGTATACTATCAGATTCGAAGAGTTTCCAGAGCTTTTATTGGCATATTGAATTGCTACTGACTAGTCTCACACGGTACTGTTTTGTTTATCACAAACAGGAATAATAACACGCAAGGAGACTTCAGGGCTCATTTTGGCCAGCTCATGCGCTGAGTCTAAGACTGAGGGCATAATATGTGATAGATGCCGCTGCTGATATTACCAAGCTTACTATGGGTTGAGTAGAAACATTTCCAGCTGTATACTATAAACAATCCTTCAGATCGATCTGTCGGCATAGCACTACCTTCGCGAAGCATCCGGGATTGCCTGAACCATTCTTCGACGGATATACCAGACACAAGAAGTAACCTCCCTGGAAGTGGGCTTCAAAATAACCACGTTGCGGTCAAGTATGCCAGGCACAGCGTGGGCAAAGGGGAAAAACACACTAAGGAAGCCCACACAACTAAAGTATCAGACNGAGGGTAACTGATGATACGTACAATAGACTTGGCATCCCTGAAGGAGTGTTAGACAACTCTAGGCAGAGATCCAGAGAAACTCCACAGAGATGGTAATGGCAGTAAACGGTTGCTGCTGCACAACTGCCTCAAACTACTCGTCAGCAGCCGTAAAATTAGAGAGGATAGAATGGTCTCCACGTGAGATGTATATTAAGGATGGTCAGATTGCCTGCAACAGTCCCCATAATCAAGTTCCATCGGGTGCGACTTGGGCGAGGGTTGCAAGCGAGTCAGCCACGGCTAATTTTAATAACAATCCACAGCATGTACGGGAGGAATCGATTGTTTTCCATAGCGGGTACAATGGAAATACAAACCGATGGCCGAATACGCGTCATGCCAGACGGTCCGCTGTACCTAGGGTGACGTACGACAAAGAATGTCGGCGCCAATAAAACGGTCAGAATGGAGGCCAGACGACTTGAGGTGAAAATACCAAGAGTCGATAGACTAATGGAGGATCAGCCCTTCAACGATTAGGCGATGATACAACTATGCAGGTCTACAACAAAGATGTCGGCATGGACATCGAAACCAAAGCAAATAAAAAGTAAACAGAAGCCTCCGAATGCTCCTGAAATCCGCAATAGCAGGGCAAAAGTAGCAGCATTACGGAGCTTCCCCAGAGGAACTGTGGACCGAGGAAATGGGCCACACATGCAAGCGATCTGCGATCAGCTTGTGAATGTGGACGCTGTTGTTACTCCGGAAAGCAGAAGCTGGGCAACAGTGGTAGGTAACCCGAATTGGATCCGCAGTAAACCATAGCAACCAGTCACAAGGCCAGAGGGCAGCTAGCTGGAATTCGGCCTTACCTGAAAATATATCAGATACGCCAAACAAGGTGTCTAGTGTAACCTCGAGGACACCATCGCAGCAGCAACACCCGGGGCAAATAGGAGTCAGACCCTCGGACCTCACATTTTTTGTAGTAGGTTAGTCGTGGTGTTACACTGGATGACAG